CTTTTTGTTTTTGTGAACTCAAACATTAAAATCAATTGGTTTGTTTACTTATGTCTCTGCTGCTACCCTTTCAAGAGGTTGTTCCTCAAGCGGATGACACACCCTTTCACAAGACATGACTTTCTCCGACCCAGGCCGGCGGCTTTGTCTCTGCCGATGGGCGCGTGGATGGCAACCTGGCGCGAGCTGGGCAGGGTCAAAGGGGGGTTTTGCTCAAACTCCCTCACTGTTGGCCAGTGTGAGGACCGGAATGCAGATCTCCACAAATGTCAAACAGTTTGGAGTTCGTTCTCCCATGGAATATCATGAATAGGGAGGGCTCGCTTTGGAATGGCTATTCTTGGTGAAAGGTCGACTTGCTCCAGTTGCACAGAAATCATTGCGATTGCAGGTGGATGGAATCAACACACCCGTACATGTGTATATATTTTTCGCAATCTCTGTATATGTATCAGACTAATATTACAAGTGTATGTGTTTTCTTGTTGGTGAAGGATGTTTCTCTCCACGTGACTTCCATCGGGAGTTTGCAACGCACGGGCATTGGTGGGGAAGCTGCAGATCGGAAAGGTTTGGATGCAACATTCGTTGCAGGATTATGTCACCATCACCTAGGAAAGCATGGAGTTGAGACCCTGGAACACTGCAGTGAGCTCCTGCCAGAACCTTTCCCGGTCCTTGGGGGACTTTGCCTACAAGAAGGATCGCACGCGCAAGGCAGGATGGAGTGTGGAGTGCAATCGGTATCTGAAGCCTCAACTCGTTGGCGGTTAGAGTTCCATGTCAGTGGGGGATCCCCAATATACTACCTTTGCCATTGATGAAGAATTTAGATTGGGATTTCTTTTGTATCCAAGATTATCCAACTGAGAAAGAAGTTTTTGAGCAGGGATACAGGAGTGAGATTTGTAGCTCCGTTTCGCATGAGATTACACTTACAACTTGCAGTTCAAGTCCAGCGCAGGGCAGCTCGGCTCGTGCAAGGCAGTCCAGCAAAAGATTTCAGCAGAGGCCGAGGTGCAACCGGGATCCTCGGTGACACTCAAGTAACTCGCGAACGGGAGTTGGGATATCCAACCGACCCACGTTATGATCTTGGGGAATCTGTGCTTGGTCTTTGAAATTATACCATGAATACCCCTGAGGTTGCATTCGGTAGCTCCACACTTGCCTGGTTGGTTGCCGAGAGCACGGGAAGCCTCCCAGGTGAAGCGAGTAGCACTGGGGCCTGCTGACAAGTTCCTCGCCATAGGCCGCTTGGAACTGGGGAAGAGGTTTTGGACATGAACCATCGGTGGGACCCACCTGGTTTTGACACGTTCGACGGTGAATCCGACAGCGCTGCAGGCTGCGATGGAATCTTTGAGAAGGTCTCAAGCCAACAGCTGGTGGGTTTCTTGCTTTCACACATCAGGCACTTCGCGCCATGGATACCATGAGTCAGTGGAAGAGATGCACACACAGAAAAACATGAACAAATTGCCAGGCTGTCGATGGTTGAATAGAAAGCGAGTGAAAACCCTAATTATCTCTTGAGGATTTCCGCCGCGGACCACCGGGAAAGGGCATGCCCACAGGGAGCGCCTTCAGTGAATTGACTGGGAGCAAATTAGTCTCGGCGAGTCGTTCCATCTATTTATGCCTGCAATGACCACTCTGCCCTCCAAGCCCCAGAGCAATGGCCCTCCAACCTAAGAGCGGCCTCCAGCCTAATAGCGATGGCCTCCACCCTAGTGATTTTGCTTTGCAATGGCTGTTCTTCCGAGAAGTTGTGGCATGAGAGGAATCGTCGGCGGAGCAAGGCGCCTCTCTCCTTGGCGTCGAGGCCTCAGAACTGGTGCGGCGTACAGATCTCAAAGGAGCGTGAACAAGGTAAAACGAATGCGGGACAAATCTAAGCAGCTCGATGCAGTGAGCCAGTTTGATCACATAAAACCTCAGATGGAACACCCGAATGCAGGTGCTCGGCCTTTTTGGATGTGAACCTTGCGAAGAATCCTCACAAGGAGCCAGGGTGTAGGTCCAGGGCAAAGCCGAAATACAGTGGCGCCTCGTGATTCGTGACTGTGTCAGCCAGTCAAGTGGTTTTTGCCAGCTGGCCAGATGTTTTCTTGATGATATAATGATATTGTATGACATTTACTAATATATTTTGGACGCTGTGACTGTGCAAAGATCAAAGATCAAATACCCAAAACTGCATCAAGCGAGAAGAGAGCTTGACCATCGAGTTAAAGACCTGATGCTGCTTTTAGAGCCTACCATTCCGTTCAAAGGGGACGGCTTGCCCTTGGAAACAGCAGACACACCCCGTTGCACACTGCTCATCACCTGCTCAAGGTGCTGCCACTTGCACCAACTGTACTAGATTTGCACATGGACTGGGAAGACAACCAAGTCAGACTTGTTTTATGCCGCACCTCTAACACCATGCAAAGTACCTGGGCTAGGCAACTACAATCAATGACAGTTTTTTGAGCCCACCACAGTCCTTGAGTAGGGTTCAACTGTTTAATCAACTTTAATGTGATGAAGCCTGATAGCGGCAGTCCTGGCGTTCTGAACGATGTGAAGAACACACAAAAATCCTGATGCCAAAGAGCGACTATTGGTTCCTTCTTCTTTGAAGGATAGCAATCGAGTTGACTGGGTAGTACCAAATGACGGGTCGAAAGTACTCTTCCGGCCAATCAGCTTGCACTCTTGCTGTATAGTAAAGACAGAAAGACAGATATAGATCCAATGCTTTCGAGAGTGGCTCGGCGACTGCGGCCCTTGTCGGGAAAGCCTCCCAGGCAGGGACTAAGGGTTGGATGGGACAGCAGGTCAGAGGCTCAACCATGTCCTTTCATCTTTGCGTTTTTGTTTCAAAGGCTTGGGCTTCTTTTCAGGATCAGTATTGGTAGCCAAGATCTCATTTTGGCATGGTCACATGCGAAGGCAGTTTGCAGCATAACTGAAAGATTGGATGGAGGATCTGCTCAGGGCACAACAAGTCCAGTCCCCACTCGCACCCATGCCGTGACCGATCTGAAAGCGCCGGACACCTGTTCCTGCTTTTGGTGGCAGTTTGCATCATCTCGGTTCAATGGAGGACAGATTGCCCGTCAAAGATTCAGTTTGGTCGAAGTTCGGTCTTAGTGGCTTTGCCACTGTCCACTGTGTCTCAGCATGTGTCGCCATGGCCCATGACCTGGCAAGGGTGAAGGCAGGGGTCCCAAGCAGATCATCAGTGTCATTCGCAGCTGTGGAGATGGTGGATCATCCTTTACATGCTAGGCTATGCCTGCCCCCTCTTCGCTGAGATCTTAAGGCTAAAATCATCTAAAATCACCAGGCTGCCCTTAAGGTATTTGTTGTGTCAGCTCGGGTGACCCAACCTGCAACAAAAAGGATTCACTGGAGTGAGGCGAGAGCATCATGTTTTTTCTTATTTGCTTCATAGTGCAGGTAGCAGGTAGCGAACACAAGACGATTCATAAACTGAGGGATGAGGCCATCACAGACCAGTTACTCAGATACCAGTTCTACTCTTGGCGGTCTGCAGCTCCAGACAATTCATCCAAACTTTTGGCTCAAGAGGAGCAGGTCTGTAAGACATAGGCCTGGTCTGGACCACCGATTCCATTTGCACGTGCAAGTCTTCTCATGGAGAGAGAGCTTCGCGAGTTCTTACACTTGAAGAAGCCCTCGAAAGCTGCCATCCAGAAAGCTCTTCCGGGCTTGCAACAGTGGGGGGCCATCCAAAGTCACCCTGGTCTTGCGCAAGCTCGGAACCGAGCATCGAGGAAAGGGACAGGGAAAATAAGAACATTCCAACAATTTTAGGTCAACCAGGGTCAACCATGGTCAACTGTTTTCTTGCTCTTTCTTTGGCTCAACCAATTACTACGCAGCTCACAGTCCATTTCCGGAGGCCACTTGCTTCTGCCACTGATGGACACCATGCGCCAGAGCCAACTGGAACTAGACGTCTTCCATTACTCAGCTGCTGCTGCAGCCGCAGCTTCGGAGACTGCACGCTGGCACCTGCCCCTGCACCTGCTGGGCGACGCCCGACGTCAAGGATGCCGTCGTTCAGAAGGGCTCTAGTATGCTCTAGCTAGTTATCATCGCGGAAGATCGAATGCCGAACTCAACTGGGCACATGGGAGTTGATGTTGCAGTGTTGTTTCTTTGCGTTGTCATTCTGCAGAAGGTAAGAGTCCTGCACGATAGGCTGATAGCGTGTGAGTGGGTACAGACATGTACAGACAGAATCACAGGATGAGCCCGATGCAAATCCGTGCTGCGAAGGGTATGTCGAGCGCATTCGAGTACTATCAATAGAGGTCTCGTTGTTCTTTGGGTCCAGGAGCCTTAAAGGTTGGTTTTGTATGGTTTTGTTACGTTGCCTTGGTTGCAAGAAAAGCAGATGCATACAACTTACAACACTTTCCCAAGATCATGTGCGAGACAACTCTGCGTGTGCCAGGAATTCGGCCAAACGAATACACCTATTGTTCTACAATGAGTGCTCCGTGGTACTTCGTGATAGAGACCGTTCGGCAGATGCAAGACTTTCGACTCACCAACCAGGCCGGTTTGGAAACTCTCCCAACTTCATATCGATCAGGATTCATCAATCTTTGCTACTTTTAGGCCAAGTGTTTCAATTAAGAAAATTCAAAGAAGGTTGTACCCTGTGAAGTAGTGTAAATCCCAGATTCCCAACTAAGGTGAGCTGCAGCTCGGCCATCAGTGCTTTCGGCCAGGCACGAGCGAGTGCGCGATCGAAACTCAAGGAGAGGTCATATTGTTGGAAAGAGACATTCTGCCGTGACATGCCCTTTTGTATAGGAAGAAAGGACGACCTGGACCACTGGTTTACAATATCAGTAGTAATTAATGTGTTGCTTCGTCGGCGAAAATAGGCCGGTGAGTGGCGATTTGCCATTGATGCCCTTGGTGATGCTGCCGAGCATCGTCTTGGTGCAAATGCGTTCAGCCTCTCAGCAGCCATGGCTTCTTGTGACAATCTACACCAGTGGAGACGAGCTTTGGAAGCCCTCGAGACCCTGCAATCTGCGGATTTGAGACTCGACACGGACTCTGACGACTTTGCACCGTGTTGCGATTTGGCTATCAGCGCCTGTGCCAAGGGGTCGAACTGGCAAGGTGCACTGGAGATGTTGACTAAAATGAAGGGATGCTCAATGAGAACAGGGGATGTCACGTACAGCGCAGCGATTACTGCGTGTTCCAACACAGAAGAGTGGCGAGTCGCAATGGCATTGTGTGGAGAGTTGATGATGTCACTGGCTCAGAGCCCAATTAATTTCTGCTTTTTGTGGGCTGAACACTTACATCAAGCCATTGGTTGTGAAGTTATCAGGCTTTGAGATGCTTTGAGACTTTGAGACCAAAAATGCATGGACTTAAAACTCCCAGTTCAACGTTGTTTAAACATGTCTAAGCTGCTGAACCCCCTTTTGCCAATTTTTGGTGCATCGATTCCCAGGTGCCACTTGGAGCCAGGGATTTGGTGCACAGCCTCCGCGCACGCGTGCGACAAGGTGGGTGCATGGCTCCAGGCGCTGAGCATTTTCGAATGGGTCTCTGATCGGACAGAGGTGGGATGTTGCTCAAAGTCTCACCACATTGGGGTTGAAAATGAGCCATGTTGTCGTTTTTCTCCACCGGAATGCCAGGAACCAACAGGCCATCCGAGTTAACTAATAATTTGATATAATTAGATACTATACTTGTATACGCGACAATCCGCGGTCCGATAATCGAAAAGAAGAACGACATGATCTTTCCTAATTACATGTTACCCATGCTTCAAACCAGGCCACAGTTTCTGAAAGAACCTTCCTATGATCCCACAGTTTCCTGTCACACGGCTTACTCCGAGGTAATCCAGAAAAAGTGAAGACCATTCAAATGCCGTTACAGTAGGTTGGAGGTCATCGCTATTAGGTTGGAGGCCATTGCTATTAGGTTGGAGGCCATCGCTATTAGGTTGGAGGCCAGCACTAGTTGGTTTCAGGCCATCGCGAGTAGGTTGGAGGCCGTCACTTCTAATACTCTAATTCACAGTTTCCTCTCATCATTTCAGGTCGATGGAGCCCTGGCTGGCTCCGTGCTCTCCTCCCTCTCCAGCTCAAAGGGAGCCTCATGTGCGCTCGAGCTGCTTCGTTGCTTGGGGCGCCAGTGGCAGCCAGCGGTGCCAGAAGTGGAGGTAGAAGTTCTTTCCTCAGTTGCACTTTGACGTTTTTAGGGGGACTGCTTGTGGTACCATCGCTGCAGAAGGAGTAACAGTGAGAATTTGACAAAGCCTTCTGTCGGGGCTTGGTGGCTCGAAATGGACCACAACAGCTCGGTGGAAAGTGAACAAAACATGTTCGATCGCTGAGGCTGGATCGGCTGGAGTTCTTTGCCATCGGCCTGGCATTGTGGTGGTGAACAAAGCATCAGGGGAAAGCACAGAGTCTCTCCTTCTGCGTTGCTCAAAGTCCTTCGGCATCCAGCTTCGACTGGCATCTAGGTTGGATGCACCAACCTCAGGCCGGAAGAAACAGACTCAGTAGAGTTTGTGTTTGGTACCACTTGTTGCAGTGGGTCCTGTTAAGACGATAAATAGCCTGAAAGCTATTGCAAAGTAAAGGGCATCAACAGGTTTTGTGTAAACTTCAAGAAAAAAGGGGTAGAGTGCAAATGCTATGGTGATGTCGTGCATTTCTCGAAAAAAAGGGCTTGCCCCACTTTGCATAGGTGTCCTTCCACTTGCGTGTGGAGAATCAGCTGGCAAGTATCTACAGGCCCAGTTCGCTGGCCGTTTGGTGCGCAAGGACTACATTTGCTTGTGTGCTGGCCCCTCTCTAGGCGAGATGCATCTCGGCCTCCCCCCTTCATCGCCTCAAAAATTGAGCACCTGGCTTTTGGGATGATCTTCCACCTGCTGGATGGTCAGTAGTTGGGTTATGTTGTTGAGTTGGTTGTCAAAGTTAGGTGCTGTAAACTGTTCAATTCGCTCCACGGCCCCACAATGTAGACAACCAGGTTGGATGATGGGGCTGCTTGATGCCCGAGATAACTTACCAGCCAAATCCTGTGAACAAGCATAGAATTTCTCCACCAAGCGTACCAGCGGCCAAGAGATATTTAAAGCCGGCCCAAGCCGTTTTTCGTGGGGAGTGCATAATTCAATCCTTTTGCTTTTAAGCTATGGTTGGTGGTGAGACATTCTCAAAGATATCGCAGTGAGACTGTACTGCAGACAGTTTGCATGCAGCTGAATCGAATCTCTTCCACTTGCTATCCAATCAAGAAACATGGGGACGGCGGGTGGAGAGCAAGTTCTTTTGAGTGGTCACCACCAGTATTTAAAATAGACAGGCCCACTTGCCCCCATGCCGTTACACTGTCAAACCGATATCGACATACCGGGCATCGCCCAGCTTGCCGGCTGACAACTTGGGGCTTGTACATGCTGCCCAGTAGCTGGTCCCTTTTGTTATAGCATCGCAAAGACCCAACGTCGCCCTCGGTGATCATCAGCAAGGCATTCCTCAGCGGTGATCTCCCAGCCGCTTCTCACCACTGGCCAAGATGGCATCAACAGCCGCACGATTGTCTCGAAGATTGGCCGCCCAGCGAAGACGGCCTATGTGGTTCAAGCGCGGTACTGGCACAGCGCTCCGCCTGTAGAGGTGGGCAACGGAGATTTGGTCATTCCTGCTGTTGATGGCTCCCACATACGCTGACCCAGAGGGCTGATCTATCAAGAAAATGCCCGAAAGCCGCGATCTCGGTTACAACCTTTGTTCATGAAGTTCAGGTTGGCCAGGCATGCTTGCTTGGTGTGTTAAGCCTTGAAGCATGTTTATATATGTATTTCTTAGGCAGAGGTTGAAACGACAAAAAACCGTGACGGTCCTTTGGGTCACCGAGTGGGGCATTGGAAATGTGATGCTTCCAGGTTCGCCACAAGGAGGGGAATCGAGTCATTGAGTATGTATACACTGTATATAAACATATCTAAACTATATATATATATTGAGTACGGTCTACGGTATAATACGGTATAGATTCAAGTGATGGCCATACGGTACCTTCACTGGTGCGGAGTGAATCCGGTGCAGGAGCAGGAATTGATCCTTTTGAGGGTCCGACCTTTGACGGGGCGCACGCATCAGATCCGAGTTCACCTGGCAAGTATTGGTCGCCCTATCCTTGGGGACATGGTCTATGGCACCCCAGTGGCTGGGCACTTTCAGCACTGTCCAGTGTCGAATTGTCGTCATCATCAAGTGGCTTTCATGCGTTCAAGGCGTCCCTCCTCCTTCTTAACATTTCTTAACTGTTTAATGGATGACCATGGATGTACTTTTGCTTGTCAATCAAAGTAAGAATCAAGGTGGGTGGGGAGGCATTCCCGCGTTTCAAACCTGTGTCTTTGTCTCCAAGGCCGTGGGGCACGCGTGCTTTCGGCTCTTTTTGCACTGCGCCAAGCTGCGGTTGTTCGATTTCACTGGCTCCACGTTCACTGCGGAGGCTCCACTCCCGGCCGCACTGAGAGACTTTCTGGAAGCCTTGGAAGAAAAGGCCGCAGAAAAGGCCGTAGGAAAAGACCTTTGTAAAGAGCCTCAGAGGGAAGTAAAGAAAGCACGTTTTTTCAATGTGCGATTAGAAACCATGTTCGCTACTAGGAACAAGTGCATCGCTTCTAGTAACAAGTGCCTTACTAGTAGTAACAAGAAGCTATGAGAACATCAACCAAGAAATACATGTGGGCCATCCGGGCCATACGATCAAACGTTGTTTGTCTACGGAGTCGATGCTGCAACTGCAGATCTTCAAAGAAATCCGATTTCAGCTTGATAGATGGACGATGCGCACTTGGGCAACCTTTGGTAGGTGCCATGAGCCCCTCATGTCCAATCACTGATACAGCAATGGTGTACAACGGTGCAGCTGGTATGGGTGTTTCCCTTGTAGCAGCATGCGATCAAAACTACTCCCGCTCACCTAGTCCAGGAACGAAGGATAATAGAAGGTAGGAGCCCCTGTAATAAAGTAAGTCCCCTTAAAGGGGCCTTGTCAAAGGGGCGCTTGCCTTCTGCTTGTATTTCGTTGTTTAACCCTTTTTCTCCCAAGAGAATCAAAGAGTTCCTTTTTGAGTGCTGTCTTTCAAGTCCATTCCAAGGTCCACAGCTGCGGTCGGACTCCTAGCAAGCCAGTGGAGGTGATGCAAAACCTGTTGTATTCCGGATTGGTGGCATCCATCCCATATCTGTTTGTGTTGGAACATCTGGATGTTCTTCAACTTTTGCATCTCGGATCTCGGTCACAGAACTTGGTGATGTCAGTTGTCACAACCAACGGCATGAGGGAAGCTATACAAGTTCAATTATGGGGGAGCTTGGTCTTGGTTCTTGTGGTTGCTTTTTCACGGCCTTGGCTTGCCGATCTTATCTCCGTCACCTTGGCTCAAGAGGGTGTGAGGAGCTTGATCCGTCTACATCCACACCAGGCGAGAGGCTCGAGAGGTTGCTTTGTCGAATCCGCCCTCAGCAGTGGGATGCTGATGTGCCCAATTGAGTGAAACTCCGCTTCTTGCATGTGCTGCCTTTTGTGATCAAATCGAATGATCAAAATGGATGTTTGGCTTAGGAGAGGAGAGGAGCTCGGTTGGGGTCATTTACAAAGGAAAACGATTGACAACGTAGGATTGCCGTTCTCCAGGCAACGCGTACATTGAACAAAGAGTCTCTTCTCACAATCATTACTTTGCAATGTTGCTTTTTTGGTTCATGCTGCACGTTTTGCAACTACAGCCTCACATTGGTGACAGGATGATCAACTTCATTCCGAGGACATGCCCTTCGGTTCACAGCTCAGCCATGCTCAGCGATGCTTGCAGGGGACTTCTGTTTGTTTGGAGCCACTCCCCCAAAAGTGTCAATTTGTTGCATTAGTGGTAAAGCACGCAAATTAGAGTTCTAGCATGTTCTAGCAGAATTCAAGGAGCCACTATTTGTTCCAGACAAAAAGCTGGTCGGACTTTGGGTGACCTTTCAGGTTTCAAAGAAGGTCTCTTGCCCCGGTCTAGTCACTAGAACAGTTCTTTATCCCGCTGCCCTCACTCTTAATCAAGTAGGCGCCTACTTACTGTAAGGGTGAGACCAACTAGCCGCTACTAGCGACTGGACGCAGGGTAGCTCAGGCTTCTTCACGGAAGCTCGCACTATTCATTTGGTTCATAGATTTTGAGGGAAACGTGTTTAATACCACAAGTTTGGGCATGCACAGGTGGCCCTCCTCTATGGGAAGCGTCCTTTGCAGCGTATCGCCGTCCGGGCCCAAGAGCTGATCCAAAAAAAAGGGAATTCGAAGCTGGAAAGAAGTTGTGTAAACTACGTGTGTAGACTCTACAAGAAACAGTGTGTAGACTCTACGTAGTGAAAATGTTTCTTTACAAATTCTTTCCTGAGCAGTCGTGCTCAGGATAAATACGACCATACGACCGACTCAAAAACGTGCTCTTGTTCAAAAGGCTCAAAAATGGATTGACAGATTTTAATCTTAGACAAGCATGAACTATGAAATGCACGCATGCATGGGCTATGCCAGAAGGATTCCCTGTGTAAAGTGAAAACCGTGGAAAAGGTTTGTTTGGTGAAAATCCACATCTTCCTGCCATAGAGCCTGTCAAAAGGCAAAGAGGAGATTTCTTGAACATGAGCAGCCCACTGCTCCTGACAACACGAGCCTAGGTGGGCGCTGCCAAGCAGCAGCTTGAGATCCCACTGGACGTGGTGGCAGACATCCCCGGAAAGGTTGATTCCAGTGTGGCTTGGCATGGACAGAGATTCTATGCATAACTGACTGAAAGACATTGAAAGACACATCTTCTCTAGGAAGACTCACACTGCACGGGGATCGCAATCAAGCATCCCGAATAGTCCAGGTTTGCTCGACCCAGCGATGTTTGTTGTGTTTTCCGATGTCGCAACTCGTTTCTCCGGCCTTTGTGTGCTGCAACGACGCTAAAGAAACATAAAGTAACAGTGTTATTTCTTTGTTGGCGGATGTATGAAGAGTTCGAACCTCCGTTTGTCAGAAGAGACAGGTAGAATCTTGTAGAATCCGACAAATGGCGATGAAGGCAAACCAGCAGAATGTGTGGAGTGACTGAGGTCGCATATGTCGGGAACAAGTACAATGCGCTCCCATGGAAGGACAATAAACTTGTGGTTTTCATATGTTCTCATGCCTTCTCAGCCGTGAGATTCCAGTATTTTTCCCGTCTTGCAGGCTGTCCACAAAGCAGGGTCGAAACCGACGAGTTGAGCTCATGTGTGGCCCTGTTGTGACTTCCTGAGGTACAAAGGGCAAAGTAGTTAATATAGTATTACCCAAATGGGATGAAGTGAAGTTTTCCTAACGATCTAAGAACCAAATCATTAGTGCGAACACTATCCTGCGTCCATATGTGTGCAGCAGCCTCACTTGGTTAAGTGGGTGCCTACTTATATATTGTTATATTACAATATAGTTATATAAGTAGGAGCCGGCTAAAAAGAAAGCTTATTAGGCTGGAGGCCATCGCTACTAGGGTGGAGGCCATCGCTATTAGGAAGTAATGTTTGGAGTTTTTCGGACGCCCTTGTTCCTAGTAGCGTTCTTGTTCAAAGTAGTAAGGCCAGGAGCCTCTAGTAGAGTCCTTGCTCCTAGTAGCGATGCCAGGAGCTCCTAGTAACTTAGTAGCGTCCTTGCTCCGAGTGGCCAACGGACACTTCTCTCGATGTTCAGGACTTTGTCGATATCAAGCTGGACGCTCGAAATTTGATTGAAGCCGACGTGAAGTCTGCCTTGACGGACCTGGACTGGTTTGGCAAGGCGGATCCTTTGCAGGGGCCACCTGCTTGAACACAATTCAGCCAAAGAAACGTGAGCGGCCGACTTTTGAGCAATGTTTAATTCTAGTCTATACCAGGCAAATCTGCACAATATTTGTTTGGTGCTATATTCAGCTATTGTGTTTTGAGATTATGATCGTTTCATTGGTGGAGTTCATAAATTGAGGCAAACCGCCGTATTGAATGAATCTGAAGGATAAAGTTTTGGGCTGAGAGGAGCTGCGTTCGCAGGTGAATGCCCTGTACTGCGGCAAGGCAGCAGAGGCTGAAATGGACGTGGCAGCCTGGGAGCTCAGATTATTGTTGACCGACGGACATTGCAAACTCCAGTTGGGATGAAGATGTTGACAAAGCAGAAGGAATGCCGAGAAGTGACGGAGGGGTAGCTCACTTCTTTTTTTTCTGCACCTGGATGACAAAACATTGGATGAAGAAGTGAAGAAGGGTCAGCCCTTGGAAGGTTCAAACAATCTGTAACAGTTTTTTGCTCCAACGGACGGCGGCTGCCTGGCTAGCTGCGTACGTTGATCAATGTTGCAACGTGTTTCTAGTTTGTTGGGGCTGGACATTCAGTAGTACGGCCAGGAGCCCCTAGTAGCGTCCTTGCCGACCTGTCCTGGCTCCCCTTGCACGGTGCAATTCAAGGCTGAATTATTTGTTGGTTCCCTCTCTACAAATGCCTTGCCAGGGTTTTGCTCCGGTAACCTCCAGAAATGTCGTGAAACTTCTGGACAAGATACTGCTATCTCTAGCTTCTAGCTGCTCCTGCCTTTTCCCTTGCTGAATCCGATTCCTTTCCATTTAGCAGAGAATATGGACATCAAAGAAGGAGGTGTGCTTTGACACCGTTGCTAAAGGCATCGCATGAAATCTGGATGCGTAGTATTCGGAACCCTGCGCCTACGTTCCTCTAGGAAGAGATAGGAAGAGGATCCTTTTCACTGCCATGTTTGGCTTACGACGGGGCATCCATGCTAGTCCTGTCACAAGAAGGATTGACATGTTCAAAGCATTGGCTTCCTCTCATGACAAAGAAGCAGCCCCACCACGTACACCAGAGACAATCAAAACAAGGCCTGTGACACTAAATCCGCAAGCGCAAGCAAGTTGAATTGGTAGGAATATCCAAACAAAATGTTCTAGCAGCTTTCAAGGAGAATCCATTCCTTGTTCTGCTGGCTTTCAAGAGGACTCTGATCATCAGCATGCTCTCAGGCCAAGACCATGGGAGCAATGAAGCCAGCAGCAGCACTCAGCTTTCTTCATGGCGGGTTGGGTGGTGTTGCAAGACAGCACCAAAATCAGCACAAGACCATGAGTGTACGAAACCCTAAGAGTCAGCCTGGACGCTTCGACCTGCATTTTGCGAGGTTCTTCCCTAATATCGTTGATTTGGAGACCACCCTAGCCTATGATTGTTACTTTTTTCTCTTGCGGTTTGGAGTTGACAAAAGGTCAGCTCTATGTTCATTGCCTGTGCCACAGGCGAATGGGGAGAGATGAAAAACAAGTCAAGTCCAGCTTTACCCTAGCAGATAGATGCGCCAAACTATTTGACATGCATCCTGAATCATCCTGAGGTGAAGTATCCCATCGCGAAGAAGTGATCCGAGGAAGGATTCGTGTTTTGGGCAAGTGTGCAAAGTCAAGTTTGACAACTACACATTGATTGCAAGGCTTGCGATTTGTTGGCCATGAATCATGAAGACATACAAAGCTGTTACAAAGCCCACAATCAATTTGGATAATTACAAAAATAGACTACGCAGCCAGGAAGGCAATTGGCAGGTTAGGCGGTCATGACGCCCGCCTTGCCTTGATTTACTTTTTGGAGGTTTTGGAAAAAGCAACTCGGAGGAAAAACAGGCGAGCAGCTCGTGGCAGCTTGAGCATCTACAGTATGTGCGCATTATCATGTTCTTGTATTGTTACAGTAGACATATTATATAACATGCTATATGGATATATAACAATATACACATGTATACCTACGTTGAGATGGTGTATGGATTGTGTGGCATTTGTCTCTCTCTCTCTCTCTGGATGCCTCTAGGTTTGGAGGGTCTAAACACCTTCTGGGGAGGTACTTCGAGCCGTCGGGACTTTGGTTCATGGAAGCATCCAGTTACCATCAGTCGGTTTGCACTGCATAGAACCCACGTGAGAGTTGTTGAGAATGACTGAAGCACATGCCGCACACTGCCCACATCAAGAGAAAACATTCACATGTGTCCAGTATAATGTCCTGTCTCCTGACCCTTTTTAGACTTCATCTCTTGCAAATCCATGCCACCCAGCGCACACGCTTTGTTCCGGGTGCACAAACGAACTTCCGCATCATTTGCGTCCCAACCACCACCGCACTGCGTCGACCGTACGGGGGCCAGTTGTGTACAGTAAGGAGATCATTCCGATGTCCACTTCCCACGCAATGCCATTGGAGGTATCCTAGACCGCCCATGGCTACGAGGTTGGAGGCCATCGCTAGTAGGTTGGAGGCCATCGCTTCTAGGTTGGAGGCCATGGCTAGT